CCCTCCTCCTTTCTCATCCGGGCTTGGGACCGGCCATGGCGGAGTTCTTTTAGGAACAAAAAGAACGAAAATCTTCGCTCGATTGGGAAGGTTTTTCCTGTGGATCCAAAAATTGTTCATGATACAAACGGAGAAGGTAGAAACAAGTAAATAAGTACGAAGGTGATTAATTTAGTACATGTTTATGTAAGTTAGTGAGTAGGCAGGTAATTAAGCAAATATGTATGTATGGAACGATACATCGGTTCGTTGTGTGATTGAATAACTGTTACTGGTCTTCGCTTCCAAATGCATGGTTCAAGGTAAAAAATGAAACAACAATCTAAAATTGTTTATTTACATTTCGACGTTGCATTCCATAATCATTTTAAGGGTAGTTATGTACAAAATGTGTGAGTAAAAATGGATACGTGTGAGAAAATAGATGAGTAGGTGAGTAAGGAGGGAACGACAATGAGTGTAAGAAGTAAAGGAGTTAGTCAACCAGTCAGTAAGCAAGTACGTGTAAACAAGTTATAGTTCAGTAAATAACGAAGTAATTCAGTAAACATATTAGTGACTATGCACCTGTTTGGGTGAGAAATGAGCAAGCAAAAAGATAAGTAGATAGGAACGTAAGCTAGTTAGCAAGTAAATCAATTACATTTTCAGTAAGTTGGTATGCAAAAAGATAACATATTGAGCAATTGAGGAAGTAACTAAGTTCAAATAAGAGTAACTCACTAAAATAAATAATATTTTACCAAATGGTTAAGAAAGCATCTAAGTTTGTAAGTGATATACAAAACGTAGCAATTCTGCAATTTTAGTGGCCACTAAGAGTTTTAAGCAAATGTTTTGGTAAACAACAAGTGGTACGAGACAGAAACAAAATGTAAACAGCAAAAGTAAGCCTTACAATTAATCTTAAATTGTCGTTACAATATGTGAGTTCAAAATTGACAGAAAGTTACTTTCAGCCAAATAGGTATTGAGGGAGACATCGATTTGCTCATGCAGAAATAACAGTTGTCTCCTCATTTCTTGAACCACGGTTCAGAGTGGCAGATTACCAACCGGTTGCTCTGAGCCATGAATCGGAAAGTCGAGATATTCATAGGTCTTTCTTGTGCCACTGCTGGACGATAACAGGATTTTGTCCTATAATAGTGTCTTCCGCGATTCTTGTAAACACGTTCATACGCTCGTCATAACACCGGTCTGGCGCTTCTTACAACGAACTGAAAAAGTCGTTTAATAACTCATTCCTCCTTCCTTTTTGCGAAGGGTAAAACTCACTGTAATATCAACGATATTTCTTTTACATAACATATATTACATAACACACTGCTCCTTGAAGTCCTGTCTATTCGTTCGCCTTTTTGTTTTTCCTTGCTATTGTCAGCAAACACCTTTCCATGCTCCATGATTCAGTTCGTAGTTTGTGAAAAAATTTTATTGATTGATGCTTTCCAAGTTTCACATCCTTCTCGTAGTATTTGGAATACACTGATCGAATGTCCTGCATTTCAAGTACAATGGCACTTTTCTTAACAGATTAAAAGAAACGTTTTCACCCTTTTATTAGTGCTCCAAACAATTTGCTCTTAAGATGATTTCGAAGAATTGGTTCTCTGCTGCAGACTTCAGCTGCTAGTTCCCAGATGATTGTAGATTCGCATTTCTTCAAACCTAAATCTACTGACTTCAACAGACTGCGTGGTCACGCATTTCTTACCTGTAAGCAAGGAGCTTCAGGTATATGTTTAATCCTGATTTGATGCCATGTCACTCAGCTCTTAGTCACTTCTCGAATTTTCCATAGAGACCTTGTGAGGATCAAAATATTTTTGGCAAGCAGCCGGTGAAACAAATGACGTCTAGTCGTGTACAGTCATTGACTTTCTCGA